TCGCTTTCTGTCTCTATGTCTCTCTCTGTCTGTCTGGCGAGCGCACGCGCCCTACAGTGAAAATCCCTCAAAAAAAAAAAAAAAAGAAACACAGTAGATAACAGATCTCAGAATACCGAACATGCACATGGCCATGATATATGGCGCTGGCTGAGAGTGGATTATGGTAGCAAGACCCTGTCGTCTCCCTCACTCTCTCTGTCTTGCTCATGGGAGAAATAATACATAAGTTTTTTTTTTTTTTTAAAGGAGGTAGATGACAGGGACCACTGTACCCCATGAAGGAAAAAAGAGACCAGTAATATTGCTGTTTTCAATCCCACTAGCAGCTACTTTTCTAACCCAGAAGACAATTATTTTACCTTCTGAGGATAAACCTGGGTGCTGACAGCTTTGAAAGAAGAGGTTTGAAGAAATGAGAGTCCCACTCTTAATTTTTTTATTGTTATTATTATTACTTATTTTTTAATGAGAGAAGGTGATAAAGCAAGCCAACAGGTCTGGTACTCAAACCACAGTCAGCCATGTGGGAGTTCAGCAGCAAAACCCCTATGCCACCTGCCAGCCCCCTCAGTCTTAAGTATTATCTTATAAATTTGTTTGTATTTATAGTATATGGGAGTGGGGGGGGAGACAGACAGATAGTATTTTAAATAGGGTCTTACATGTTACAGTTCTCCTGCCCCAGCCTCCAAGTTAGCTATAGTAACACTTGCATGTAACCATGCCCAACATGTTCAGAATAACCTGGGGAACCCAACCCAGGAGCCACTTGTGGCATCTACCTGCCCTAGGGATGGTACTGTCTGTACACCACCATGTTGGGCTAATTTAACAAAATTAAACTTTCTTATCAAAAATTGGATTTTGCCTTTTAAGTGCTACCTTTATATTGCAAAATTTAGAATTCACTGTTTAAAATTGCTGTTGATTTAATAATGTACTTTAGACCAGTTGATGCATAATTCTGAAATAAGAGTCTCCATTTTGTTAACAAAAAGACCATGTTTATGTTCTTTTCATATGATTAACACAGACATTTTTCATTGTAATTACAAATGACATTTTTGTCATCATAGGAAAGATTCTTTCCCTTTTTAAAAAATGCTTGCTTTTATTTATTATTTATTTTCAATTCACCAGAGAAAGGGAAAGTGAGAAAACAAGCTGCTAGGGCCAGGATTTCAACCATGGCTGGCCATGTGGGAGTCCAGCCCCTTCACCACCCACCACCTGCTTGGCCCCCTTACTTTCCTTTTAAAAGCTTGTTTTAGAGGCCAACAGGTGGCGTGGAGGTTAAGGGAACTGGATACTGTGTGACCAGTTGGCACTGTTTGAGTCCTGGACCTAGCAGCTTGAAAATGCATGTCCAAAATCCAGAGAGGAGAATGGAAAAGGGATTGCAGCATGGCCATTCCCCAGGAAATGAGTTTTTTCTCTTTCTCTCTTTCTGCCTCTCTCTCATGCGTGTGTGAGTGCACGTACCCTGTACCAGAACAAAAAAGTTGTTCTTTGACATTTATTTGGTGGTTTATGAGAACTCAACTCAGTTGATGTACTTTATGGGCCATGCATCAAGTTCAGTATTAAAACTCTGATGGTGATAATGTTCTTTAAAACATGGTATAGTTTATACATGTACTTGAAACTAAAGTGTTCTCAAGTATTCATAGCTTTCATTAATAGTTTGTTTTAAAACTAGTATACAGAGGATCTGAATTTTTATGACACTTAGATTCTCAGCCTGCTCGTGTTTAGGGTAGCAGTTCATGTGTGCATGCGCACTGTGCACGGATGATAAATGTTTTCATTTACCCAGAGTGTCTTGTTTAAGATTCAGGGGTCAGTACCATGGCTTGTGGTTAGTGCAACTGGATCTCACATGGCTGACCACATGATTTGAGTCTCTAACTTGGCTTGAGAAACATGCTAGGATATGTTTGTGTGCCCCAGGTCCCAGAAGGAGGGAGAGATGGAGGAGAAGGGATTGTGGCATGACCATTCTTGATGGAGGATGTATTTTCTTCTTCTTTTGTCTCTGTGTTTCCCTCTACCACCACCCCCAAATTTAAAATATTCAGAATTACATTGCATCATTTTTGGATTTGTATTAAGAGTTAGTATCCCTTGTAGTATTTTAGACCTGTGCAATATGAGAGCCACTGGTACATATAGCTCAAATCAAAAATCCTGTAGCTGCATGTGGCCAATGACTCTGACTCTCATATAGTGCATGTATAGGATACATTGTAGCAAAAAGTCCTGTTGAACAGTGCCTTTGTGCACACAATTATCTACTGTATGATTTTTTTTCTTACTTGTCACAAGTTGTGGGCTCACTAGAGCCAGGGAAAGGGAGAAGGCACCCCCTACTGGGGTATTTTTCCTTCACGGGTACTCCGTTCAGCATATCTTAATATGTGGGCCAGTTGTTTCTAGGATTTCTCAAAGGTGGTGCTTAAAATTTTGTACCCTCACAATAAAGCTGCTGCTTCACTACTAAATATATATATATCACTTTATTCCAGAAAGCTCATTATAAAGTAATTATTCTTCGCATATGAAGTGACACTTTGTTAACAAACACCTTATTTTTATTAAATTACTTCTCATTCCTTGTGGTAGCCTTTTTCTTCTCCCCCTCTCCTTATGTCCCCCTCTTCACATGCTCAGTGACTCCGTTATAACTAGTTATTTTGGGGTATGACGCATGCTGCTTTTTGTTCCTGTTCTGTTTAAGAGTAACATAGATGTGGACTATGCCACCCCACCCTCAATTTCAAACATCTTCAGTTCTTTTTCTATAAAGATCTTGTCTGCTGCTCAGCAGAGGCTAGTCTGGCTAGTTATACCATGTTCATGAACTTGTCTCTTATTAAATGTTAGCTATAACAGATCATTTACCTGTGGAAGAATTGCAATTTCTTTCATTTAGGTGATTGAAACAATTTGGACCTGGGGAAAAGATAAAACAGTTTAAACAACAAAAGTACTTCTGCCCTTTATTCTATTGAATGAACATGAGAATGAATCATTTATGTGAGGTATGAGTGTTTTGCCAAGCCAAGAGCATATTCAAGAGTTCAAAGCTAGATATTTTCATTGCAGCATGACTATATTCAAAGTAACTGACAGTTTATTTTATGGTTAGCTAAAGAAACAGCACTAACTGAATACTGTAGGGAATATTGGTTGAGTTGGACTTAACAGAAAAATAATGCATCTATGGAATGATGGCTGAATTATTGGAATTAATGGTAATTTAGACTAATTTTTGCATTATTCCTTGATTTTAGTATCTCATGTTCAAACAAGATGTGACACCATTATATTCTGTCTTGGTACTGTTCGCTTCTACATTTTTCTCTCTCTAATGTCCTTCAAGTGCAGAGACTTTATATGTTTTAATTTTTTTATTCACTGTGGAAGTCAGTACAGAACACCTAATCAAATGGCTTCTAAGCACTTACAGATTTTTGGTTTTGCAGACTAGTCTAATTATTCAGTTTTATACCTTTGTGTTACATATGTATACAGACACTAAATTCATTCTTTCTCCCTGATATACTGAATATGATGGACTGTTTGAGCCATGATTTTTAACCCAAAGGTGGGTGTGTCCAGACCTTCTAAAATTATATGCAAATGTTTCTGTGCATTTAATTATGTGCAGTTTCTTGGGAAAGCGTGTGTTACTTTCAGTAGTTCTGAAAGCATTCAGAGAGATAATTGCTTGGATATAGTCAATGGAGGAAGCAAGGCAGGCCTTTTAAGCTATACTTGGAAAAATTACTTAAAAGAAAATGTTGCAGTGTTGGATAGATAATTGGTAAAATACACAGGACCAGCATATGGTATAATTATGGTTATGTCTCTGGACTCCCACGCAGTTGACTGCAGTTCGTGTCCCAGACCTGCTCTCTTAAAATTCACGCTGTGTGTGTGTGTGTGTGTGTGTGCATGCCCACAATCCCGAGAGGAGAATGGAGGAGAAGGGATTACAATGTGACCAATCCCCTCTGGGAAGTGGTATCTCACTTTCTGTCTCTGTCTCTCTGGTGAGTGAAAACGCCTTGTAGCAAAAATTTGTCTTTTTTTTTTTTTTAAGTCAGTAAAATTTGAGATACATAATATTCTTTATTATAAAAATCACATTTGTAAATTCTTAACAGTGAGCTACCATAGACCAGAAGTTTATTTAAAATGCATCGGATGGAGTCTCTCCTACTTCAGTTTAATGCTTTATAGTGAATAACTTGTTAATAGTGGTGAATCGTACAGTGAACTTAATCTAATACCTATTCCTGTGACTTTGATTTTCCTTTTTTCTTTAGGAAAGTAGCTCTGTTGTCAAAAAGCACTTGATTGAAGTTAGCATTAACTGTGCGTAACGTGACTGATTCTAGTAGCCCCTGCCATGTTTAGGAGGAATAACAAGAACTGTGCATAACCAAAGTATTTCTGGTATAAGTGATTTTCTGCTCACAAACTTTGTTTGAGGCCACAATTTGAATTTTTGAATTTATGACTGTTAGAATTCTATCTGAAATTATTTTTCTATTAAAAAATTTCCCCCACTTTAGTAATACCTGTCTTGATTCTATAGACTGTTTGGGTTTACATAAGCAAGCTTATCAAAAGTATATAAGAAAGAAATTAGGAAGTTAATCTATTTTCCTTTTTTTTTTTTTTTTAAGTTAGATTTTATTTATTCTATGAGAGAGGCAGACCTTTCTTTGACAGAGCCCACAATACCACAGCCGTCTTCCCAGTCAGCCAGGATCCTGGGCATGTTCAGGTCATTACAGGATTTGAACTCAGTTGGTTCAGTGTAGCAGTGTCCTGCTGTCTGAGCCACTGAAATTGGGTCTTTCTTTATTTCTGATAGCAAGTTGATATGTAGACTTGGAATATGTTAGGAAATACATGCCAAGTTTTAAAACTGGTGAATTCGGGAAGAAAAAACTAAAGTCTTTTTTGTCTTTGTTTTAATTATACAGCAGATATAATTTCTACAGTAGAATTTAATCATTCTGGAGAATTACTAGCAACCGGAGATAAGGGTGGTAGAGTTGTCATCTTTCAACAGGAGCAGGAGGTAAGTTTTAAAGTATAATATATACATTTCAGTTTGATTTTGAGACTGCATTTTATGTTACACTGGAAAAACTCATCAGAAGATCCTGGAATTTTTGAAAAAGAAATGTCAGTTAATTGAGTAGAATATCCAATATATATGGATAGCTTTGATTCTCCTACCTTTATGCATATACACGTGTGTGTGTGTGTGTGTGTGTGTGTGTGTGTGTGTGTGGTTTTGATTTTAAAGTACAGCTCTTCCATTATAAAAAAGATTGTGTTAGAGAAGGAGATAGAAAGTGGTGAGATAACTTAGGATTCTAAGCAGTTTAATAGCCTTGGTTATACTTTTCCCTTAGAATGCCATAAAGCAAGGTTGTTTTGTCCTCTTCTCTGCTTGGTGTGTTTTATGTAATTGGAGAAGGGAAGTTAGTTTAAAGAAGAAGCTTAATTATTTTTACATAAGTTCATAACCAATACTGGTAATGTAATTTAAATACAAAAGTTTAAATGGCAGTTTCATGTATATTAGTAGAATAATAGTTTTTAAGTGTGTTGCTAACATTTAGAATAAGTTGATAAGAAATGGTTTTCTTTTCTCTTTTTACAACTCAGGCACACTTCTAAATCTGATTGACACGATTTCTCACTAAAATTTCTTGCTAAACAAAATTTGTCACAGTGATTTTTCTTTATTGTCACCCCTCTATTTAATAGATCAAAGTTGAACTTTTTAAATAAGTTGAACATCCTGCCCTTGTCTATAATATATTCAGAAAAATTTACTATAGATAAATTACAGTTTACAAATCATAACACAGAGTAAAGTTTTAAGGGATTGTGAAGTTCCTTAAATAAGCAAAGACTCTAGTAATAATAATACTACTTTGCACTTCTATAGCGCCTTTGACCTGAGGATCTCAAAGTGCTTTACAAACACTAATGAATTAATCCTCACAACACCCCAGTGAGGTAGGTAATTTAATTTTAAAAGAATGATTAAGAGTGTCTGATTAGAAGATGCACAAACACTAAATATGTCTCATTTTTTGTTGAAAGAAAATATGAAAATAAGACTCAAACTTTGCTTGACAAAGAATGATCTGTGGGAAGGGGGACTAAATCGGTTTTTGGTTCCTGTTTTCTAAAAACTTTATCAGAAAAATCTTGAGGTAGTGTTGAAATGGAACCTTAGAGATCATTAATTTCCCTTTATTCACAAATGAGAAAGATATATATTTATATTATATACACATCACTTTATCATTTGATGGCAGAACTAACGACCAAACTTAGACCATGTCATCTTTTCAGTGTTCTTTGTCCTCTTTCATGTTAGATAACCAAGATATGAAAATGTTAACTTTGTTACTCAGTGTTTAGAACAAGCCGTCTGTCCCATAGGCATTCTCTGGCCTTGAATGTGTTATTTACTGAAAGTTAATGATTCTCTACACTTCGCGTTTGTTTTAAAGAAAAATGTTTGAAGAAAAGCCTTTTAAAAATAATTTTTCTTACTGTGTTTAATTTTGAAGGATAATACACAGGGTTAATATTTTTAGGGTTTCAGAAAGTCTTCATTGTTAGCGAGGCCATTATGCCTTTTTAAGTTTCTGCTATAGGGTATGCGCACTCACAAGAGAAGACAGTAAGTGGGGTGAGAAATCACCCCACAGAAAGAACGGCTATGCCACAATCCCTTCTCCCCCGTTCTCTCCTTGGGATTTTGTACATGCACACACAGAGATGCCTGGTGTATTTTTCAAGCACCTGGTCTTGGACTTAAACCATGGAGTTGGCAGTGGGATCCAGCTTCCTCAAATACCACACCACCTCCTGACCATATATTTTAAAGTATAAGTTGTCAGTTAAATGCTGATTTGACAATATTTTGCTTGAGAATGTCATCTTCACCTTCTTTAGGTGATAGTTCATTACTAAACTAAAAATGTGAAAAATAAATAGAATTTTAAAATAGGGGAAATTTCTCCTTTAGTAGGGGTTCAATAGATGTAGTCAAAGTAATAGTTTAGTATTTAGCATTTCCTAGAAAATACATTAATTTATAATTTAAATTCTAACATTAATTACTGAAATTGCCCAGCCATTTTTCTTGTATTAGAAAATAAGGCCAAAACTTTAAATTTAAAGCATAATCATTTTCTCTATTATTTTCCGGAGCCCCACATGAGATTCTAAAGTCATATTCTTTTAAGAAGAGGTGAACAGAATGATTGACACTTTAAAAAAGACCGCTGGTAGGAAATAACAGGATTACCTCTTCATATTTTTGTCATTTTCCCTAACTTCTTTACCATATTTAAGAATAAAAGACATGAGACCAGCAGTTGGCGTAATGACTACATTGCTGGACTCTTATGTAGTCAACTGTGGTTTGAGTCCCGGACCCAATGACTTAAACTCACGCGTGTGTGTGTGTACGCGCGTGCATGCCCAAGACCCTAAGAGCAGAATGGAGGAGAAGGGATTGCAGCGTGGCCATCCCTCCTGGGGGGTGATTTCTCGCTTTCTGTCTGTCTCTTTCTTTCTCTGGCTTTCTGGGGAGTGCACGTGCCCTATGGCAAAAATCTCTCAAAAAAAAAAAAAAAAGAAAGAAAGAAAGAATAAAAGACAAATTAGCATGTCCTTTGAGAGTTACGTGTCAGTGTAAATACCAGTATATTTTCAAAGGACAGATGAAATGACAGCAATTATGGCAGTTGGCTTTTTCCTCCTGAAACTTAGTTTTGTTAGTATTAATGTCGTGTGACTCTTAACTAATTAATTTTCCATGTTTTCACACTGTGTCTTACACTGTAGTGACCTAATACAGTGTTGTCTTTAGGATCTATGTTATCGATTATAAACAAACGTATTTTACACTTAGAAGGACCTTTATTTCTGAGATTAACATGTGTAGGTGAGATTTTGTGAGTTCAGATTTGTACATGTCTAAAAAATAGTGTTAGAATTTCAAAAATGGAAAGGAATTTATTTGTTTAAATTTGCTGGATGGGGTGTGCTTTGGTAGGAAGGGTGGCAGGGAGTGGGGGTCAGGGATAGAAAATACTCCTCCTATAGGGCATAGTCAAACTGCAATCTCTTCTCTGCCACTTCCCCCCAGTAAGGGATTTCGGGCATGCATGTGTACACATCTTGAATATTTCTCAAGCTGCCGTTATGGAACTTCAACCACGTGGTCAGGCACTTTCACCACCAGGCCATGAACTTGGCCAGTGGTCATTTTTTTTCCCCTAATTTTTAGATAAATCCCAGGAAACCTTGTATTACAAGGTTATATTGCTCAGTTTAGTTTATTGCAAAAACAATTGCAGTTTCAGACCGAGAATTTTAAATCAGTATAACTAGGTTCAGACACATCTTTATTTATCCAAATAGAAACCATTACACTCAACTCATTTTTTTCCCAACAAGAAATAAGTTTGTTTATTCCTGTAGCATAAAAATCCATGTGTTGGAATTTGATAAACTCTGAGAAACCATCTTCTGCATCCTGCTGGTTGTGGAAGGCTTTTACTGCAGAAAGTTATTGAGATGCTTGTCGAAGTGGTAGTGGGTTGGCCAAGAATCACATGAATATGGCAAAAACATTATAGCCCAGTTCATTCAAATTGCTGGTTTTGCCATGTGTGGTTAGGCGTTGTTATGGAGAATTGGGCCCTTTCCATTGACTACCTACAGCTGTAGACATTGCCATTTTCATATACTTCTCAGAATAATGGTTTCACTGGAATTCAGAAAGCTGTAGTAGATCAGACTGCATCAGACACTGACCGTAACCATTTTTTGGTACAAGTTTGCCTTTGGAAGTGTTTTGGAGCTTCTTCTCGGTTCACCTGGTCATCACCAGTTATATAAAATCCATTTTTCATTTCACAGCACAAACTGATTATGAAATGGTTTATTGTTCTGGCATAGAATAAGAGAAAATGACACTTTAGAATGAAAATTATCAATTTTACACCTTTCTGATTTGCTCCAAATACCTAATGACCCATTGAGTTCTTGTGCGACTTTTCACGTTATTTGTAAGAGCATTAGCTTCGCTGATGGCTCTCCGTTAGTCGTGATCAAGTTTTGAGATCTGGCCAATGTACTCCTCACCTTTAAGGCTCTCCTGTCCTCTGTAGAACTTCTTGAACTGTAGGTTCATGAGCAGTTCCTGGGCCAAAAGTGCCATTGTTGTCTCCGCTGCTTTACGACTCATTTTGAACTCAAATAAGGAAATTGCTTGAGGGACCAGCATATGATGTAGTGGTTACATCACTGGACTCCCACATGATTGACCACAGTTCAAGTCTCGTACCCAGTAGCTCGAAATACGCTGGGCTTGTGTGCATACATGCCCAAGATCCTGGGAGAAAAGCAGAGGAGAAGGGATTGTGGCATGGCCATTCCCTCTGGGAGGTGATTTCTCACTTTTTCTTCTCACTATCTCTCTCTCTCTCTCTTTCCCCGGAGCATATGTGCCCTAAGGCAAAAACCTAAAAGAAAAAACATGAAAGTTGCTTGAATTAGCTTTTTGTCCTAACATTTCAGTAGTCTAAAATAAATATAAACAGCAAGTAAATGAGTCATTTCCAAGAAAAACATAAAGCAAGAGATGCACATTGAAATTGTTTATACCATAACCGCATTTATTTGAGAATATATTCTAATATCAAACAATACATTTCAGCACTCCAAAACACTGTGATTACTTTTGCACCAACCTAATAACAAAGCTCTGGGATTAGGACTTGAACCTCTAATTTTCAGTCTAGTGTACACTGTTTTTTATCTAATAAACATTTCTTAGTGTTTGTAAATGCTAAATTTGTTTGCAAACCATAGCAGCATATAATCTGTTGTGGGCTAATCCTCCTACCCTATGGCAAGGGTTCCTTTTTGAACTTGACTTCACTGGAAACCAGAATATCTCCACCCACTCTTACTTAAAATAAAATCAATAGAGAAATTGGCACATCAGACTTTGACATCTTAACCCCCCCCCCAAAA